CGTGTCGGGCTCGGGGTAGGGGCTCTGGCCTATTACAGGATGGAAACTCGGGTGTCCAGAGGGGCGGGAGGGAGAGGGAGTCGGAGGGAGGCGCGCGGGTGAAAGGGGCATTGATGCAGCCTGCGGCGGCCTGGGAGCACGGCGGGGCCAGACTCTGATCAGGTCCCGGCTCCGCGTCTCCTCCTCCTTCTCCTCCTCCTCCTCCTGCTCCGCGCCTCCCCGGGCCGCCGCGCGCCATGCGCCCCCACGGCCCCGCCGCGGCCTCCCTGCAGCGGCTCCTCGGCCTCCTGCTGCTGTTGCTGCTGCAGCTGCGGACGCCGTCGAGCGCCTCCGAGACCCCCAAGGGGAAGCAAAAGGCGCTGCTCCGGCAGAGGGAGGTGGTGGACCTGGTGAGTGCGGCGGCGGGGACAGAGCCGCGGGCCGCACCGGGAGGAAGTGCGTCCAGCTGTTGGGGGCGGGGTGGTCTGTACAGCTGTGTAGGTGGGTCGTGCGTGCGACTGGGTGTCCCGCTTTGTCTGCGTCCACGTGTAAGGTAGGACCTGCGCTAGGCGTGCGGTGAGGTCGTGGAACTCGCACGGGAGACCCAAGTGGCAGGGCCATCGTGGAGCGGAGACGCGACGTGGGTCGGGTGGGACGCCCCAAAATACAGGGAGACGCCCAATAATTTCTGGCCTCTGAGGGCCCTCCACACCCCAGAAAGATGGAGAGGGTTAGGGCGGCAGTGAGAGCAGAAGGAGGAGCTTAGGTAGGTTGGAAGGTGGGCCTGGGAGCTGCCTGGGAGACCCTAGACTCGCTGATCCCTTGGGTGGGCCTGGCCCAGAGCCCTGTGACGTGTCCTGTGTTGGGGCTGGTGGCCACGTCTGCCTGCAGGAGAGAATAACAACCCTTACAAAGCATCCGTCCAACTCTTTGTAACTTGAATACTATGAGTCATGTGGGTCATCTTCCTAGGAAGTATGGGCTGCAATTTACTTTGCTGGACGACCACAGCTCAGGACCGGAATGGTTCAGAGGGATTAAGGCCAGAAGGGGAAAATGAAGGGACCCCGCACTAACCCTCCAAGGACCCATTTCATTGTTCTGTTTAGACAGACAGGTAGTCAGTTCTTCCAGATACCCTCAGTCCCCAGCCTGTGGCCACCAAGCTGGAGCATCACAGTGGAGCTAAGGGAGAAGACAGTTTCCAGGACAGCAAATAGCCCAAGTGCTTTCTGAAGGGCTAATCTATGGGAAGGTCTGTTTGCTTAAAGCTCTTTCCCTCCGAAAATCAACAAACCTAGCCCTGTGTCTAGAGCTGTCCTTTCACAAGCTACCATATTCCTTGGCACATAATAAACTTAAGTCCTTAAGCCAATCTTATTTGCAGACAAATACGGTTTACAGGCATTGCAGGGCATAAAGTGGGGGCATTGTTTTGATAAAAACCGTTTTGAATTTGTTAAGTTGCCATTATAAACTGAGCTAATAAACCAAACTCCCTGGCAGCTAGTTCTATGCCAGATTCAAAAGCTCTGGAAAAAAATTCCTGCCATCGCACACTGCACTTTTTGGTGATGTGCTATGTAATTTTGTTCCACAAAGCAGACAATGTGTTCAGGGCTCCGGTTCTATTTTAAGTGTCTAAGTTGTTTAAAACTGTACCAAATGGTTGTGGTTCATCTGCAGTTTGCATTTATGAATTTGCAATTATGATACACAAAATACCCCTTTTCTCCATAAAGCTAGCAATTTTTTCTTTTCCTCCAAGGATTTTCAGTACCTGCGGTTTCCCACAAATCTCGCCCTGCTTGGAAAAGCTTATTGTGCAGCCAAGCTCAGGTGCATCCTGTAGATTGGATTTGGTTTTGCTGGAGAAAAAAATGTTCATGTGGTCATTAAGAAGGTTTCAACAGATTCTATAAAGCAGCTTCTTTGTACAGAATCTGTCAAAGCGTTCCTTTCAAGCTTCCAGCAAGCTCTGCCCCCTGGTGGCCATGGAGAGAAATAGGGGCTCATTCTACCGACATTTATAGAACCCCTGCCTAGTACTAAGCACGTGCTGGGATAGCATTTTATTTTATTTTATTTTTTTAACTTCTAAAAATTTATTTTTTGAGAGAAAGTGAGAGAGTGGGGGAGGGGCAGAGAGAGAGGGAGACACAGAATCAGAAGCAGGCTCCAGGCTCCAGGCTCTGAGCTGTAAGGACAGAGCCCCGTGCTGGGCTTGAACCCACCAATTGAGAGATCATGACCTGAGCTGAAGTTGGTCACTTAACCAACAGAGCCACCCAGCCGCCCCAAAGGTTAGCATTTTAAAGTGAGAAGACAGATGTAATACCTGTGGAACCAAATTCAATATAATTACGTGGTCACTGAAATGCAGATTATTCCTTTATTTTTTATTTTTTTGAGAGAGAGAGAGCACACGAGTGGAAGATGGGCAGAGAGAATCTTTTAAAAAAAATTTTTTTTTCAACGTTTATTTATTTTTTTTGGGACAGAGAGAGACAGAGCATGAACGGGGGAGGGGCAGAGAGAGGGAGACACAGAATCGGAAACAGGCTCCAGGCTCTGAGCCATCAGCCCAGAGCCTGACGCGGGGCTCGAACTCACGGACCGCGAGATCGTGACCTGGCTGAAGTCGGACGCTTAACCGACTGCGCCACCCAGGCGCCCCTAGAGAGAGAGAGAGAATCTTAAGCAAGCTCACTCAGCATGGTGTCCAACTTGGGGTTTGATCTTACCACAGTAAGATCATGACCTGAGCCAAAATCAAGAGTTGGATGCTTAATCAACTGAGCCATCCAGGGACCCCTGTTTTAGAATATTTTGTATTTTAGCGTGTCTTCAAATACTTTTGAAATTTTATTAAATATTTTTCTTACTATTTCCTTGGCAATAAATAAATAGTGCTTTTTTTTTCTTACATCAGGAAAATGGCAGTGGCCAAAGTCATGACATAAATCATTTATGAAAACATAGGGCACCTGGGTGGCTCAGTCGGTTGGGCATCCGACTTTGGCTCAGGTCATGATCTTGCGGTCCGTGGGTTCGAGCTGTGCTTTGGGCTCTGTGCTGACAGCTCAGAGCCTGGAGCCTGCTTTGGATTCTGTGTCTCCCTCTCTCTCTGTTCCTCTCCCACTCATGCTCTGTCTCTCTCTGTCTCTCAGAAATAAGTGCTAAAAAAAAAAAAATTAAAACAAAGATGAGGGTCCCCTGAGTGGCTCTGTCATTTGAGGATCTGACTTTTGATTTTGCCTCAGGTCATAATCCCAAGGTCATGGAATCCAGCCTCCCCTCCCCCCCATCAGCATGGAGCCTGCTTAAGATTCTCTCTCTCCTCTCTCTCTACCCCTCTGCCCTTCTCCCCTGCTCTCATGCACTCTCTCTCTCTCTCTCTCAAATAAATTGTAAAAAAACAAATATAAAGCTGGTGATGGGAAAAGAAATTGATTGGGAAACATTATATACATGAGGATCCTTCCTAGGTAATGTCATTACTGGATTTTATAATATGAAATAATTTATAATATGAACTCTAATCCCAGATGGCGAAATTGAAAGATAAGCTTTGAAGTTATTTTAATCTGTAAGGAATCTTGGGTTTTGTTGTTGTTGTTGTTCTCACTGGACAGGATCTTTATATAGAATGACAGTATAATTTACACAAATAGGGGAATGTTAAAGTAAAAATTTAAGTGGATCGCATTTGGGGTTTGGAGGGCCCTAATAAGTGGACCAACTCAGGAATAGACATGGGAATTAGACGGAGATAAAATATCACCCTTACCACTTATCCAGCTACATTGGTATGAGTGGCTTATGTGTGCTGGCTGGCAGGTTTGCTAATGTTCCCTTTCCCAGCTCTAGACCCTGGCAAGGTCCACCCGAGGGAGTAGACATACTTGCCCAGTATCACTGCCTCACATGGTCTTGGGGGAATAATAAGAATCCTTACGGCTGACATACACTGCTTACTGTGCCCCGCACTGCTCTAAGCACATTTTATATATTATCTCACTTAAATCTCATACGAACCCTACAAGGTAAGAATCTTTACTATTTTCTTCATTTTACAGGTAAGGAAACGGGCACTGAAATGTTGAGTCAGTTGCCTTATCTCACCGAGCTAATATGTGGTTGAGCCAGGATTAAAATCCAGAGAATCTGGTGCAAGAACTCATGCTCTTAACTTCTACCTGACACCGAGAAATAATCATAGCACTTAAGAAGTTGGATAGATTCCTGCCAACCTCATGAAAACCAGTGGTCACCTGTAACCATGTCATTCACTCCTAAGAAGGAGTGAGGTTGGAGGCCAGACGTGTTACCCTAGTGACACTCCCTTCACATAAAAATAGAAGCAGGAGATGTGCAATCCATTTCAAAGGTTTCGCCCGTTTAAGATAATTATTAACTAAGCTCTTTAAATAATTTTATCACTAGGAATATATCTTAGGGAGATAATTCAAAAGATGAAGAAAGCTCTGTGTATGAAGATTTTCATTACAATAATATTAATGACAGACAAAATAGGAACAGCGTAAGTATCCCCAAATAATGCAATGGTTGCAGAAAAATGTTAAAGTATCATTCTGAAATCCAAGTCCCTTTACAGCATGTAGGGTCAGACGAAAATGGCAGTGTATTCAATTATGTTCACGCTGAAATACAGCTATTTAAAAATCGTGTATACTTTTAATAGGCAGTAGAAAAAAGCAGGCAAATGAAAACATTGTGTCATCTTTGACTTGTGTGTGTGCTTGCGTGCCTACAGTCTGTGCAATGAAAAGAACAGGAAAGAAATCTTAACATTTTAGAAATCACTTTAAAATCAGTTCTCTATAATAACTCATTTAGAACATGAGCCAGTAGTATAAAGAGATTCTGCGCTCCAGGTGCTCAAAAATAAATGCAATTCTAATCGGAATGAGTCTTGGAATCGTAAGCGGTGAGAGTCTGTCCCTATTTCCTTTTTCTGCTCTAGTATAATGGAATGTGCTTACAAGGACCTGCAGGGGTGCCTGGGCGAGACGGAAGCCCTGGGGCCAATGGCATTCCTGGGACCCCCGGGATCCCCGGTCGGGATGGATTCAAAGGAGAAAAGGGAGAATGCCTGAGGGAAAGCTTTGAGGAGTCCTGGACACCTAACTACAAGCAGTGCTCGTGGAGTTCACTGAATTACGGCATTGATCTTGGCAAAATTGCGGTAAGTGAAGTCTGAGTTATTTTAAAGTTGAAGCAAAACTTAAGAGTTTTCATAGTTGAGTGTGAATTTTGGATGAGATTTTATTTTATTTTTACTAGAAGGCTTTTTACAAAATTAAGGAGTAGGGACCCTGTAGCTTTTAAGTTAGGATTAATGAAAAAAAAAAAGCTAACATTTCAAAGTTGATTTTATAAAGGTATTTCTAAGACAAATAAATCACCATGTTATTTTAGCCCGGATAATACCTAACATAACTTACTCTCCCCTTTTTATTTTTATTTTTTATTTATTTATTTTTTCAATATATGAAATTTATTGTCAAATTGGTTTCCTTACAACACCCAGTGCTCATCCCAAAAGGTGCCCTCCTCAATACCCATCACCCACCCTCCCCTCCCTCCCGCCCCCCATCTACTCTCCCCTTTTTAAAATTTTTTTTTTTTTTTCAACGTTTATTTATTTTTGGGATAGAGAGAGACAGAGCATGAACGGGGGAGGGACAGAGAGAGAGGGAGACACAGAATCGGAAACAGGCTCCAGGCTCTGAGCCATCAGCCCAGAGCCTGACGCGGGGCTCGAACTCACGGACCGCGAGATCGTGACCTGGCTGAAGTCGGACGCTTAACCGACTGCGCCACCCAGGCGCCCCTACTCTCCCCTTTTTAAATGCAAACTAAAAAGGGAGAGTGTGAGTGTCTGTGTTGGATGGTAAGCAACCTTCCAGTCTTATCCTAAAGTGAATTTAAATTTAAATTAGTGTAAGAAATTCTCCTGTGGCTCCAGGCCACGAAAGAGTGGGAAAAAATTTCCAAGAAACTACCCTGTGATAGGAATTATCTCGAAGTGGGAAGTCTATTGGTATTTGTCCTTATTCTGGGTAGCAGGTGTGGCTTAAAATTGCTAAGCTTACGGGAGGTGGAATGGACCAGAGATATACTACAGTGAGCATTTAAAGTTTGTCTGTGAGGGCACCTGGGTGGCTCAGTTGGTTAAGCGTCAGACTGGTTCAGGCCATGAACTCACAGTTCATGAGTTCGAGTCCCGCGTCGGGCTCTGTGTTGACAGCCTGCTTCAGATTCTGTGTCTCCCTTTCTCTCTGCTCCTCCCCAGCTTGCACTGTCTCCTTCTCTCAAAAATAAACAAACATTAACAAAAAATTTTTTTAAAAATTTGTGAGGCTCCTGGGGTGGCTCAGTCAGCTAAGCATCTGACTCTTGATTTCAGCTCAGGTCATGATCTCACAGTTTGTGAGCTTGGGCTCTGCACTGACAGCGTGGAGCCTGTTTGGGCTTCTCTTTCCCTGTCTTTCTGCCTCTCCTCTGCTCGCTCTCTCAATAAACAAATAAATACATACATACATAAACAAACAAATGAACTTAAATTAAAAAAAAAATTGTCTGTAACGGTGAGGTGGGGGAAAAGTACTCAAAAGAGCCTGAGTGGCAAAGCATTTTGATTCACGATTCTAGTCACTTTAATTAGTGTTTGCTTCAAAAGCAACTGGCAAGACGATCGGGATGGCCCAGAGCTGAAGAAGCTTGGTGCTATTTCTAAGCCTCTTTCTTCTTTTGTTGCCCAGTGCCGTACCTGGTTCTGTATGTACAATATATTATTCCTTGATAGTAACCACTCCTACCATCAGCCAATGCAAATAGAAGAGATTTTACTTTCGGAACACTCTGAGATGCTCCTCGCCGTAGCTTTTTCACGTCTGCTCGCTTGCAAACCGTTCGAGACTGTCTTGATTTGATTTGTGCGTACTCGAAGTTCCAGAGAGCTTCCATAGTTTTGGTGACTGTGACCACTTGCACTTTCGTATGTGACTTCTTAGAAAGCATTTGGTTAAAATGCCGCCTGCTTCTTTACACATCTGACGGGGACGGACTGGTTACTTACAGTTCATCAAAAGTTGCTGAGTTCTACAACTATCCGTGTGGACTCTACATATTTAATATGTTTTTAAGTTTCTTAGGAGCGGTCAGAATGGGTTTGGGAGTTTTCTGCAAGTGAAAGATAGTAGACCGTGAGCCAGTGGAGAGACAAATTTTGCAAAGAATATGGACAGGGCTGGTCTAGAATATAAATTCCACGAGGGCAGAGATTCTGTTTCATTTACTGCTGTAACTGTAACATCCAGCATAAAGGGCTCAGGAGATATTTTTTGGAATGGAAAAAAAAAGTCAATATATAGATTGGTTTGGTTTAAAATACGGAAGACTAGCTGTTTTGAGTAAAACCAAAAGATACCTTCAATGACGTGAATAATTTTAAGAATGCTGTAATTTGATTTTCTGAGAGTACCTCATATCAGGCTTTTATCTATCTTGCAGAGAACCTCTCTCCTTCTGTAAAAGTTAAGCTTTTTAAAATGTAATTTGAGGGGCACCTGGGTGGCTCATTCAGTTAAGCGTCCAACTCTTGGTTTCGGCTCAGGTCATGATGTCACGGTTTTGTGGGTTGGAGCCCCACATGGGGCTCTGTGCTGGCAATGCAGAGCCTGCTTGGGATCCTCTCTCTCCCCCTCTGCAGGGGAGGGGCAGAGAGAGAGGGAGACACAGAATCCAAAACAGGCTCCAGGCTCTGAGCCATCAGCACAGAGCCCGACACGGGACTCGAACTCATGAACTGTGAGATCGTGACCTGAGCCGAAGGGAGACGCTTAACCGACTGAGCCACCCAGGCAGCCCTGAAAGCATAATTTTAATTAAAGTTGAAAACGCTAATAAAGCCTTGTTTCTGTGCTTGTGACAGGAGTGTACATTTACAAAGATGCGCTCCAACAGTGCTTTACGAGTTTTGTTCAGCGGCTCACTTCGGTTAAAATGCCGAAGTGCGTGCTGTCAGCGTTGGTATTTCACGTTCAACGGAGCTGAATGTTCAGGACCTCTTCCCATTGAAGCCATAATTTATTTGGACCAAGGAAGCCCTGAACTCAATTCAACAATTAATATTCATCGCACTTCTTCTGGTATGTAGAATAGTGACTGCGTGATGTGCCTTACGTCTTTAGAGACCAAAACTGGTTTTGAATCCACTAGCATGTTGGCTCACTAGCCTCTGAGAAGGAGACGTATAGCAGGTTTTCAGCACATGATTCTTCATCCTGGTTGCATTTCAGAATTCCCTGAAACGGATCTTTAAAAAAAAAAAACATGCAGGTGCCTGGGTCCCACCTCTGAACAACTGAGTCAGAATCTCTGTGGATCAGACTGTATTTTTTTTTTTAATTTTTTTTTCAACGTTTATTTATTTTTGGGACAGAGAGAGACAGAGCATGAACGGGGGAGGGGCAGAGAGAGAGGGAGACACAGAATCGGAAACAGGCTCCAGGCTCCGAGCCATCAGCCCAGAGCCCGACGCGGGGCTCGAACTCACGGACCGCGAGATCGTGACCTGGCTGAAGTCGGACGCTTAACCGACTGCGCCACCCAGGCGCCCCCAGACTGTATTTTTTAAAAGATCCCCAAGGTTGAAAATTACTGAGTTAGATGAAATGGCAAAACAGTCTCTAATGCCAGAGAGCAGTGGTTTTCAACCATGGCTACGTATTCGGCACAACTGGGGCACTTAAAATCCCTGTACCTGAGTACCACCCCTCCAGGGGGTCTGACTTACCGGGTATGGAGGCTGCTGAGGGAATGGATTGCAGAATCTCTTCCAGTTATTTTAATGCTCATGAGATCCACTAGCATAGACTGATAAGGAGATTACTTCTCTGCCTTGTCCTTTAAAAGGGTGGATACGGTCTGCTGAACTTGCAAAAGAGAACATGGCCATATTGCATTCTCTGTTTCTGTGAAAGAATGACATTCGTTTCAACCAGTGTTTGCTTAAACTGTAAGGGAAAAAACTTGGTTGGTTTGTTCTGTCTTAAGGCTCATTCACGAAAATTTGGACGATACCAAGAAATAGAACTGGGGGGCTGCCGATTAAAGCCATCACCCAGACGTACCACTATCGATATTTGGTTTCTTTTTTTTTTTTTTAATTTTTTTTTTTCAAAGTTTATTTTATTTTTGGGACAGAGAGAGACAGAGCATGAACGGGGGAGGGGCAGAGAGAGAGGGAGACACAGAATTGGAAACAGGCTCCAGGCTCCGAGCCATCAGCCCAGAGCCCGACGCGGGGCTCGAACTCACGGACCGCGAGATCGTGACCTGGCTGAAGTCGGACGCTTAACCGACTGCGCCACCCAGGCGCCCCGATATTTGGTTTCTTGAGTTGCAGTGAGATCGCACAGCATGACCGCCCATGCTGGGAGAATCACAAGATGTATATATCACCAGCTTCATTTCCCTGATTTCTTGCAAGGATTTCTCACTAATCTTGCACTTAAAAATGGCGGAGGGAAGAGAAGAGATCCCTCCACTGTAAACCAGAGGAAATTATATTTCAGCATGCTTTGGGGATTCAAGATACTGTACCCAGAAACCAGTATCTCACATTTCTTATTCCTAAGAAATTAAGTGCGTCCCTTCCACATTCTTCCTCAAATCCCCGCCGTATCTTTCAGATATAAAGAAGATATTTTAATCCCCTCTTTTTGCACATAGAGAAGGTCCAGGGAAATAAAGTGTGTTACCCAGGACAGTAGAGTCAGTGTCCAGGAAAGCAGAAACCAGCTCCTTGCCTGCCCTCTTGTCTCCCCAACCCGCTCTTTGGTCCGGTTAAAAAGCTGCATCACTAAGTCCTTAGATACATGTGCTGGAAAGGATGATATGTTTTGCATCTTGAGAAGCAGTCTCTAAAATAAGAAAAATCTGGATATAAAATTAAAATTTGATTAGGAAGTGATATGTGTTAAATAGTCATTGGAATGAGTAACTAACTTTCTATTGTATTACCTTTAAGGTGTTTGAGCTAATATCTTGCTATGATATAAGCTCTCAGGCCCATGAACTGTGACCTATACGTGCATATGCCTTATAAATTATTTAATATAGCATTTCCCAACCATGTTGTGGAAACTCATTTGGTGTGATCCGTTGGGTGGAATGTCAGAAGTAATTTGTTACTCATAACAGTTTCTGTGTTAAGGTTATGGAAGGTTACCCCTATAATAAAGTCACTTTCCCTCTCACACTGTTACTCTTTCTTGAGAGAAAGGAGACATACTTAGCACATTGAGGTTGACTGGAAGTCTTGGATATATCCATGGGAGTTTGAAAACATTTGAATGCTACTTTGTTACCTGGGTCTAGGAGGAAAATAGGTCTAGAACCCCCAATTCCAACATATTTTAGATGCTTAATAAATTGCAATAGTATATTATCATTGCAAAAATGTTCATTCATTCAAAAAACATTATGTTATATGTTAAAGACCATGAAGTGACCCTTTGACTCCTCATGCAAGACTGATGCTAGACCCCAACTTGTCTTATTACATCATGCAGTGTGAGGTGAGCAAGCTTCTAGGCCGTGGATCTGCAGAACTTGGGAGAACACGAGTATTATTTCTGGGCATTTTCACCAAGTGTGGCCCTAGGTTAAATGGAATTGTGGCCACACTGCTTAGTTCTCCCCGCTTTGAAAGGGGCCTGAACCACAGTCATATCACTGGATTCTGAGGGACTTACCATAGATTCACTGATGTGTCTGCTAAAAGAAGGACATAGCTTCAGATCTACATTACTGAGGCTCAGCTGGATTGTACTAACCTACCAAATGGGAAATCTGACCAGTCGCATGATGGCATCCCTCCACTACTCATATCGGGACCCATTTTCTTAAAGAATCTGGCAACCTTTGGTGCCTTTTCCTCCTTACACAGACACATATCTTTTTGTCTGTTAAAATGACCTTGGGGATTTTTTTTTTTTTTTTTAATATAGAAGAACCATGGTAAGATGGAATGCAAGTTGTATATTAGCATGTGAAAGTCCAGAGACCCTGAGAAAATTTGTATATTTATAAAGCAGAAGAACACAGAGGAAAAACAAGGCTGCTTGTTTTTTCACCGTGAGGAAATTCTATGAAAAATGGGATTCCCAGATTGGAGGACTGGTATAATGATTATGCTAGAATTTCTTTTAATGTTTTAAAAGTCCTTTCTTCTCCGTGAATGCCATCAAGTGTATAGGTAAGTGTTGGAAAAGACTTCCTTTAAAAAAGACCTGCATATCAAATAAAACTCTTGGCTTTCAAAAGTGTAGGCTTCCTTTGTTTAGTCAAATAAATTGCTTTTTTGTTTTCAGTCACCTAAACAGTAACTTTCAGGAACTAAACAGACTCTGCTTTTATGGTCAAAACCTGTAAGAAAACTATCTGTTAAGCTTATATCATCGAATGGATAGGAATACATCTCTTAAAAATATTTACTTGGTAAGAAAAAGAGAACTTATCTTTATGAAGTCCTGATTAAGTGTTAGAATTTTTAATTCATCGTACATTAAATAGATAAGTTATCCAGCTTGCTAAAGCACTAAAATTTAGATGAAGATTTTTGCTTTTCGTTCTAAAGAAAGATGTACCTTTCATCTCTGTTCTGCAGTGGAAGGACTTTGTGAAGGAATTGGTGCCGGACTAGTGGATGTTGCTATCTGGGTTGGGACTTGTTCGGATTACCCGAAAGGAGATGCCTCTACTGGATGGAATTCAGTGTCTCGCATTATTATTGAAGAACTACCAAAATAGATTCTTTAATTTTCATTCCCTACCTCTTTTTTATTAAACCTTTGAAGGGTTCATTTTAGTGGCGTTTTATATAATGTTTAATGTATACATCTGAATAAAAAACAAAGCTAAATGTGTTTACAGACCAAAGTGTGATTTCACACTGTTTGAAAGTCCAGTATTATTCATTTTCCTTCAATCAAAACTGGTTTCAGGATTTTGTAGTTGACTAGAATACTTTCTTCGTATTCCCCATTCCCTGAACCCGTAATTTGGGATGTCATCGCGGTCTTGAACTTTTCCTATTGTCTTAGGATAGCACCTTTTAAAACATAAGGCTACCAGTTTTTGTATAAGTTGTAAATGTTCAGAACTGTTTTATATCTGTGAAATAAAACTTGTTTCAGACTATTTTATTTTAAAAAAAAAATTTTTTTTTTTAACGTTTATTTATTTTTGGGACAGAGAGAGACAGAGCATGAACGGGGGAGGGGCAGAGAGAGAGGGAGACACAGAATCGGAAGCAGGCTCCAGGCTCCGAGCCATCAGCCCAGAGCCCGACACGGGGCTCGAAGTCACGGACCGTGAGATCGTGACCTGAGCTGAAGTCGGATGCTTAACCGACTGAGCCACCCAGGCGCCCCTCAGACTATTTTAATATCTTTAACCTAATTGCTACTAAAGTTAGAGTCCTTAGTACTTTATATCTGAAAAGTTGGGTTCAATTAATAATCATATATATATTAAATTTTAGTACATGTACTGCTTCATATTTTGAGGCGTATAAAGGAAAGGGGGTATTTATGTGTCAGGAAATACATTAACAAGCACTTTAGGAATTTTATCTCTAACAAAGAATAAAAAGATGTGAATTCTGCCCTCCCAACTGCTTACTTCCAATTGATAGGGAGGATAAAATATATACACAATTAACATTAAATCAAAGATCAATATGTTGATTGTCATAAAAGTTGTTGAAGGGGTTGGCATAATTCAAAGGATGTTGTATTACCTGTGGCTGAGGTCATCAGAAAGAATTCATGATGAAGGAAGTACAGGTATCAGACTGATAAAATTAAGTGAATCCTGGTTCACTAAAGTACTTTATCTTAAATAAGGCTATAAAACAATAACAACAGGGGCACCTGGACGGCTCAGTTGGTTAACCACTCGACTTTTGATTTGGGCTCAGGTCATGATCTCATGGTTGTGAGATCGAGCCCTGAGTTGGGCTCCACACTGAGCATGGAGCCTGCTTAAGATTTTCTGCCCCTCCCTCACCTATGTGTGCATGCACGTGCTCTCTCTCTCTCTCTCTTAAAAACAAAAACCAAAAAAACAAAACAAACAAAAAACAATAACAAAGTCTCCTAGTTTTTGGCCTGCAAACAATGACCTAGAAATGATGACCAGTCTAGTAACACATTCCATTTCCTACTAAAAGGAACTAAGGCTGCTTGGAGAAATGGGTGATTTCAGCTCTGGGGCAGGAAATCTGCAGTACAAGTCTGGAACATCTTGGCATAGTGGAAAACAAGGCAACTATGAAAGATAACTGAAAAGGAGCCAAGAGCCAACTTGAATTGGTTCCCACTGGCAAAGATAATACAATTTAAGGATCAGTAAAGATAATAATGGCAATGGTTTGGGGCACCTGGGTGGCTCAGTCGATTGAACATCCGACTTCAGCTCAGGTCATGATCTCACGGTTCATGAGCTCGAGCCCCGCGTTGGGGTCTGTGCGGACAACTTGGAGCCTGGAGCCTGCTTCGGATTCTGTGTCTCCCTCTCTGTCTCTGCCCCTCCCCAGCTTGCACTCTGTCTCTCCCTCTCTCAAAAATAAACATTAAAAAAAAGGTGTTTTTTTTTTTTTAATAAAAAAAAAATAATGGCAATGGTTTGCAACACATCAAATGTGTTTTAATGCAGGAGTTCATAATGAGATGAACATAAAATTCATTGGTCAACTTGGAGGATGCCAGGAAACCAACTTGTCACTGTGAAAATTGGCAAATAGGAAAAAAACAAGCATTTATTCTGCTTTCTCTATATGAACTGTATTTCTGGGTAACCAAACTGTTGATGAAGGGACATTTCCCCTTATAGAAGTGTGTGTGTGTTTTATAGTATTTTATAGGGTGTGTTGGTATAGGTAACAAATGAAGAGTGATAGAATTAGAATATCAAATTTTCAACCCCTCATGTATTAAGAGATCTGGCAATGATCATCAATGACTGATAACATTCCAAAAAGTGAGGCACCAGACTATGTATCTCTTAATGAAAATACGTAACACCACTCAAGAAGTAGTTTTGCCAAGAAACAATCAAACTTGGATTGATTTAGTCTCCAGATATAGCCGTTAGATTTTAGGAAATACAAGGGATAGAAGAACATGCTAATTGACATGACAGAATCATAGCAAATCTAGACTATGGGAAACTTGAAAGACAACTTGGTTTCTTCAACAAATAAGCTGCAAGAAAAGAGAAAGAAAAAACCTGTATTAAAAGAGATTTACTATCATCTCAATCCATTTCGATGTTTTTACTTTATTTGGATGCTTGAGATAGTTGAAGACATTTGAACACTAACTGGGTATTTGATATCAAATAATTACATATTTTTTAGGTGTGATAAAGGTATTGTGGCTATTTTTTAACTTCTTTTTTAAAATGTTTATTCATTTTTGAGAGCATGAGTGGTGGAGGGGCAGAGAGGGGGGTGGAACAGAAGATCTGAAGCAGGCTCTGCACTGACAAAAGAGAACCTGATGTGGGTCTTGAAATCACGAACCTGAGCTGAGATAGGACACCCAACCGATTAAGCCACCCAGGCGCCCCTTTAAATTCTTTCTTTCTTTTATTTTAAAGTAATTTCTATGCCCAAGGTGGGGCTCGAACTCACAACGCTGAGATCAAGAGTCCCATGCTCCACTGACTGAGCCCACCAGGTGCCCCATATTGTGGTTATTTTTAAATAGTGCTTATCTTTTAAAGATAATAATACTGGAATATTTAAGGTAAAGTGATATGATGTCTGGAATTTGCTTCAGAATAATCCGGAAAGGAAAAGAGGGTGAGAAGGAATCTCGATTAAATAATGTTGAAGACAGAAGTTAACCAAGATGGGTAAAAATTTTGAGAAATGGGACTGGGATTAAAGACATTTTGGGTGGGGACAAGAACATTAGTTCAGACATCTTTGAATTGGCAAAGATTGTGAAGATATTTATGTCCCATGTGAATGCCTATCAAAGGATGTCCATTGCAGAGGAGGCTCTTAATACTGAGACGGACAAAATAACACACTGTCGATGCCAGCTTCTTTCCCCAGCCACTCCAGTGCTGGTTCAATGGACCCACGAACAAAGAAGCCATGGTGGCAAAGATGGAGGCTATGTTCAACAACACAGAATCTTAAAGGCTAGCCTGATGGAGTACCTGGGTGGTTTAGTCGGTTGAGCGTCTGACTCCTGATTTCGGCTCAGGTCGTGATCTCAAGGTCGTGGGATCGGACCCCTCGCCAGCCTCCATGTTGGGCTCCATGTTTCTCGAGGAGTCTGTTAAGGATTCTCTTTCCCTCTCTCTCTGCCCCTTCCCCACACTCTCACGCACTTGAGCACTCTCTCTCCCTCTCTCTTTCCAAAAAAAAAAAAAAAAAAAAAAAAAAAAGCTGGACTGGCTAGTGTTACTGCTGAGTAGAGACTAGCATTGAGTATGTAACACTGGCACCATTCCCTGAGGGGACAAGTCAGCCACTTAGTGGACCTCTTCTACCCTGGAGGGGAGATATTCATTCTCATGGAAATAGACATATATTCAGGATATAGATTGCTCTCTGTGCCCATGATACCATTCATGGACTCACAGAATGCCTTAACCACTCTCATGACATTCTACCCAGCACTGCTTCAGATCCAGAAACCGCATTTTACAACAGAGAAGTCCAACAATCGGGCTCACCCCATGGAATTAACTGGCATTACCACATAGCTCATACATTAGACTATCAGCTAGTCTAAATGAAAGGTGAAATGGCTGACTGAGCACTCATCATGGTACCAGTTGGCAGACAATATCCTAAAAGGATGGGGTTCTGTCTTACAAGTTGTAGTACATGCTTGGATGAGAAATCATTACGTGCTGTTCTCTCTCCTGTAGCCAGAATGCAAGCAGTCGAAATGAGAATGGCTTCTCTCACTATCATACCTAATAACTCATTTACAGATTTTTTGCTTCCCTTGCTGACAATGTTGAACTCTGCCGGTTTGGAGATCTTATTCTCCCTGCGGGGAATTCCAGCCGGGGACACAACAATAGTTCCACTGAATTGGAAGATGAGACTGTACTAGTTTTCTGTTGGCTGCACAACTAATGTAGTAGATTGAAACAACACAAATTTATCTGTCTCATGGTTTCTGTGGGTCAAGGGTCGAGGTACAGATTAGTTGAGTCCTCTGCTCACAGTGTCACGAGGTTGAAATGAAAGTGTTGGCTCAGTCATCTCATCTGAGGCTCAGGATCCTCTTCTCAGCTATGTGATTGTTAGCGGAATCTGATTCCCTGCAGTTGTGTTGTTAAGAAAACCTTGTTTTCTTGCTGTCAGCTGAGGACTCCTTTCATCTCCTAAAGGTCCCTCCCAGGTGCTGGATATGTGGCCCCTCCTCTTACAACATGGCTGTTTTTCTTCCAGACCAGCAAGACAGTGCTTCTGCTTTTAAGGGTTGCCTATTAGGTAGGTTGGACCCACCCAGAATAATCTCCTTTTGGATTACAGCCAACTGATTACAGACCCTAATTACACTTATAAAATTCCTTTTGCCATATAACATAGTCATGGGAGTTTATATCCAGATATATTTACTGGTCCCAAAGATACATAAGCAGAAATAGGTTGTTTACCTCAAGGGGCAGGGATCATGGAGTCCGTGTTAGAAGCCTACATATACACAGACTGCTACCTGACCATTTTGCACTCTTTAGACCACTGAACCAACAGGTGAAAAACAGGTTAATCT